GGAGAAGAACAAAAATTTGGGGAATATAAATTTTTTTTTTTAGATAACGTTTTACAGTTTTAAAAATAAAAATGTAACTGCTTTAGAGATAAAATCCCGGTAACTTAAAATAATAAATTTAATTAACTACATTGGTTTAAATAAGGTAATTGAATTATTTAAATAAGTAAATTATTATTTTAAAAAATTAATGAGAATAATATATTATTTCTTGATATGCTATAATTTGATAATAATATGCTATAAGTAGTTTATTATTAAAAAGTTTGTTTATAACTTGATATTTAACATCTTAAATGTGTGTGTAGTGTTATTTTTATAACTTGAATCTATTAAGTGTGTTCTTTTTATTGAAAAAATTAGCAATTAAGACAACTTTAATAACATAATTAATTAAAATAACATTAATTTAAATTTTTTAGTGAAAATGACAAAATAGCTATATGTTTATTAATGTTACATATTTTATTAAATGTGTGTATTTCAGATTTTAGTGTATATTGATATTATTAATTTAATGTATTAATGAAAACTCATTTATTGGACCAAAATATGGTCCAATAACATTTAATGAAAAAAAAAGAAATTAATTAACAATTTCGTGTAAAGTTCCAAGAAAGGTAAAAATTAAACTAATTCAAAATTTTCAGCCAAATTTTGAAGTTTCTTTCACGAAATTTGGCTGAAAAATTTGAATTGGTTTAATTTTTACCTTTATTGGAACTTTACACAAAATTGTTAATTAATTTCTTTTTTTTTCCATTAAATGTTATTGGACCATGCTTTGGTCCAATAAATGAGTTTCCATTAATATATTAAATTAAGAATACCTATATACACTAAAATCTGAAATACACACATTTAATAAAATACGTAACATTAATAAACATATTGCTACTTTGTCATTTTCACTAAAAAATTTAAATTAATGTATTTTGATTAATTATGTTATTAAGTTGTCTTAATTGCTAATTTTGAGAATGAAATAAATAACAAAATACAACTAAACTGATACTATAAGTCTATCAAAATTTGAATACATAAAGATGCTGAAAAGAATATAAATACATTAATCTAATATATGTATACAACAAAATATGGGCAAAAATAATGGCTACTAGAATACAGTTTGAGAGAAATTTCTAGAGTGAAGCCTGGGCCTTATAGGCCTTCCTAGAGATATGCATAACGGCGGCATTCTAACCTCTTTTCTTTATTGTAGTTGAATTTTTTTCAAGATAAGATCTCTGGTCGAGTAATTAACAAGTCGTTGCCTTTAGTAGATTTTCTTTTTTACATTTTTTATACTTGCTTTGGATATTTATCACATCACATTTAGGGATACAAATTTTTTTTATGTATTTAAAACTATAAGCTTCCAATCTGAAAGACATATGCAATTTCAAACACAAAAACCAACTATAGACATAGCATAAAAAATAGTTTCGTTAATAATTTAATACCTCTTCATCGTCATGACGTAATACTTCATCACTTCGATATTTTTGTTGATCAACAGGAGTTTTAGAGCACGACACTTTCCTTTTTTTTGAAGAGCTATCAATTGCCATTTTATACTCTTGTGCCATTCTTGCCGCATATCCTACATTTTCTATCAATCCTTGAGTAATGCACAAATCAAATGAGTGAAACTCCAGAAAATTTTGAATATTATTGTTTATACCTCTAGTAATTCTGACTGAATCTGCCATTGCATACAATACACTCTTTTTTTCCCAACAATTCAAAAATCTGAAGAAGAAAAAAATCTTTTAACAACTGCGTATTGAACATCAAACAACAATGATTCTATATATATGAATTTTCATAATCTACCTAATCTTAAACATTGAAAGAAAATCATAAAAAAAAATAGACAAAAAATACAAAATCATAAATGTATGATGGATATTAAAACAAAAATCACATAAATTGTCCATAAAATCTTGATATACAAAATCAGAACTTTAACAAAAACATAAAAAAAAAAATCAAAATCGAAAGTTGAACTAACCTTGCCACCACGAAATCTGCTTTAACAATGATCCTAGCTCGAAAATTTGTTTGAATCCTTCATAATCAATGACTTTGATGAAGAAATCTGGAAAATTTGTGAAAGAAACTTGAAAATTTGGCTGAAAATTTTGAATTGGTTTAATTTTTTTACCTTTCTTGAAACTTTACACGAAATTGTTAATTAATTTTTTTCATTAAATGTTATCGGACCATGTTTTGGTCCAATAAATGAGTTTCCATTAATATATTAAATTAATAATACCAATATACACTAAAATCCGAAATACACATATTTAATAAAATACGTAACATTAATAAACATATTGCTATTTTGTCATTTTCACTAAAAAATTTAAATTAATGTTATTTTGATTAATTATGTTATTAAAGTTGTCTTAATTGCTAATTTTGAGAATGAAATTATTTACCTCGAGGGAAAAGTTAAAAATCAATACAAAATAGGGATAAAAGTGCAAAAAAAAATAAATATGTCCAATCTACATTCAAAAAAGTGTACGTTTCAAAGGGTACCAAAATCGGTAAAGATTGAACTCAAATTTACAACTTTTATCACACAGTAACAACCGTTTCAAAATTAATACATATAGAATTTCATATTGTTAAAAACAAGAAATAATAAAAAAATACATAAGTAATATGAGTCTAAACAGAATCAAGCACATATCCAGCCGTACACATCATATAATCAGATATAATTATATTATTGTTACTTATCTTGTTCAGAGATTTTCTATTGATATCAATGGAACTTACGATGAGCTTCCAAAAACAAATTCAAATCATACAAACATTTAACGTATTCATGTTAAACATTTTAAAAAATACCTGATCTCATTACACGCTCAACTTAAAAGATGGCAAAAGTACAGCTTTTTAAAAAGTAACTGAAGGATTATTAATCCTATTTATCTTTTTTATGTTTTAATTTCCATTTTTTCTATAATTTTTTTTTATAAATACATATCATATTAAAAGAAAAAATACGGTATTCCTAATCTAACTAATTAAAACATGCTAATTTTACTAAATATTGAAATATTATTACTGTGTCACCAAAAAAACTAACACATTGTTGTTTTGATAAAATTCTCTTTCTTTATTTGGTTTGATTTTTGTGTCACTCAATTTTGTAGCACCAGTGGAAAAATAAATTTGGTTTGATTCAATCTTTTTTAATTCAATTGTACCATATAAGAAAATACAAATAGAATATAATCAAATGAGAAAAAAAAAAGCACAAACAACATAGATCTAACTAGTTTAGAATTTAATTACATGTCTTTTTGTGAGTTTCTGAAATTTATCATTTGTGTCATATTAGGTGTAATTTGTTTGAAATACACTATACCCAAGAGAATTCACAAATATACGACTGCTCACTCGCCTTTGTATTTAGTGTGATTTACATATATCTGAGACGCACAAACTCTCTCGCTCACCTCCTACCTCTCTCCCTCTTGCTCGCCTCTCACCTCTCTCCTCTTTCACTTGCCTCTCTTCCTTCTTGCT